CACTGTGGACTCTTAAGTTGTAAGGCCATCTTGCTCGCCCTTGTTAAAATACATTAAAGATCAAACAGTAAAACCGGCCTTGCCTAGTACAAACTAGCCAGAAGAAAAGTGTGATGTCAGCCAATTATTCAGACATTTGACTTGAGAACTTGGTGTTTGAGAACATATTGACTAAGGTGTTTGCTTTTCATTTAAGCATTATCTGGGACAGTGCAAACAAACCTCAGAGTTACCTTTTGCTAATCCCAGTGTTCATTTGGTGGGGTTGTTTATTTTTGCCTTAATCATAGTGACTACCTAATTGAAACTCTGTCTCACAAAGGCAAAAGCCAGAAGAATTTCTGCTTTCTGCAATTATGGGTGGCTCAGCCTGGGCCAAGGTTGTTAATTTGAATACTCCTCAGCTTAATCTTGAAATCTCAGGCTATCTAAAGCTAAAATGGGGTGAGAGTGGGGAGGTGAGAAGAATAGATGATAGGTGTAAGTGGCACACACTGAGACTAGATCTGTGGAAACATTCCTTCAGTTGATTGCATCGGGAGATAAAAATAGTAAGGAAATGAAATTGCTTTAATTTGTAGACAAAATGGCTCCCTTAATGGTTTGGAAGTGGAGAGGTGTGCATGCCTGGATAATAGAAACACTGATGACCCAGCAGACAGAATTACTGCTCAGGATTTCCATCATTTATTTCTCTTTTGATCTAGTAATGATCATCACCAATGATTAAGTCTCGCTCTCTGGCAGGAGTTTTGATTTTCATGATGTTTTTTTTTTCGTCTAAAAGTAATCTGTTTCCTAAGGACTATACCGCTAAGCTACAACGAAAGCAGGGGTATAGCCCATCTGCTACTGCAAAGTGGAGACTGCTACTGAAGAGTACATTGAACAAGAGACTCGGTGAAAAGATATTTTCACTGCAGATGAGACATGAGTGTAACGCTTATCTTTACAAATGACGTGAACAGAGGGCACACATGTCTTCAGGCTAAAGAACGTCTTATCATTAAGTGTGCATTGCTGAGGAATTTCTTAAAAATCGAGTTCAGCACTATTCCCTAGTCTCATCATTGCATTAGGTCACTATGAAAGAACAGGTTAATTATAACCCAAGGTTATTAACCAGAAAGGAGTTGCTTCCTGGTTTACATTAGTCTTATTCTGTCTGCAACTATGTTATTTCTCCCTCCTGCCATGCTTTATTTTTAATTTTTTTGTTCCTGGAAAATATGTAACCATAACACAAGCTTTCTCCAAAAGTAAATACTTAAGATGTAAAAATAATAATTTAGAAAACTTTCCTCCATATTACAGTGTTTATTTCATGCTGTTGTCTAATACATTAAGGCATTAAATGAAAGAAAACGCAATAAAATTTTTTAACTAATTAGTGAATGGTATTATAACCCAGTGGTAAAATGGTTGCCTAACATACAATGAGGTTCTGGTTCCTATCCCCTGAAATGATATTTTGTTTTCCAGTTAACAGACTTCTTAAAGTGGGCAGGTGGGGTGTCCTGTGCCTTTAATGTCATCACTCCAGAGAGAGGAGCAGGAGAATCTCTGCGAAGTCAATTTCACTCTGTTCTACACAGAAAGCGCCAGGCTAGCCAGCACTACTCGGTGAGACCCTATCTCAAAATCAACTTAACCCCCCCAAGTGTGCCTGAGTAATTGTCACACTCATTCTAATGCGTCAGGATCTGGATCATACTATTCACCCTACATTCAGAATAAAAATAAGATAAAAGTAACATAGAAGCTACTGAAACATATACATGTTCAGAAGCCTGGCCTAAATCTTGAGAGAAAAACTATTGAATTTTTTTCTTTATTTTCTTGGTTCCAAGGCAGCATCGTCCATCCTTGTCTGCCATTTAGGAAGTAGTTAATATGAGCAGAATGCAGTAAAAGATTCTTTTTATTCAAACACCTTGGCCTGGAAAAGTGCTGTTTTGAGTAAGCTAAAACCAGACCTTCTGATTATTTTCTTGAAGCATTAGAAGATATATCTGGTGTAGCTTCATGCACTTTAATAATTATAGTAATGAATACAGCAACACAGGGGCTTGATGAATAGGAGGTGCTGAAATATTAGAGTAAAATGAATGAACAAGCACATTACTAAATACATTGTAAATTAAAATGTCTGTTTTAACAAGGGAACATTGTTAGCATACATGTTTCTTCAATATTCAAGAAATTGTTTTCTTTTTTTTTTTTTCATTAGCCATGGGACAAGTCACTAGGGTGTTTGCTCATCAAGTCTCATGTCAGTAAAATCACTTAGATAAGAAACAAGCTGTTTGGGGATGTGTATTTTCTCTTGTATTGTGAAGAAGAGTTAGAGGGGGAAGGAAGACAAAAAGAGATGTGACATGAATGGATCTTCCAGTACATGCCAGTCTTCTAAGAGCTTTACATCTCTGACCTTCCTTAAGGATCAACCTTGTAAAATGCCTTCCCTTCTGGAAAAGGACCTAAAGACTTTCTGTGTTAATTGACTCTCCCAAGACAACACACAGAGCTAGGATACAAACACAAGTTCATTTGACTCCAGAATATTCTTCTTTCCATTATACTACATTTTGAATGCATTCTATTCATTATCTTATGTCCTAGAGTCAGAACCCACTGGAATGTAAGCTCTTCAAAGGAGGTAACATGCAATTGTTTTTTTACCTGTATCCCTAGCATCTGGCTTTGTACCTAACATGTAGTATCTCTGTAGCTCAGGCAGCTCTTGAACCTTTGTCTCAACTTCCAGAGGATCTAGGATCATAGGCTTGTTGTAACAGATCAGGTTAACATATACTATGTCTACATCAATATCTGTCTATCTATCTATCTATCTATCTATCTATCTATCTATCTATCTATCTATCATCTATCTATCTATCTATCTATCTATCTATCTATCATCTATCTATCTGTCTGTTTATCTATCAAGCTATCAAGCTATCTATCGAGCTATCTATCTATCTATCTATCTATCTATCTATCTATCTATCTATCTATCTATCTAAAATAATTTAAAAGGAAGGGGCTGGAGAGATGGCTCAGTGATTAAAGAACTTGCTGTTTTTCCTGAGAACCTAGCTTCAGTTCCCAGGACCCACATAGCAGTTCACAACTGTCTGTAACTCCAGTTCCAAGAGATCTGACTCCCTCTTCTGTATGCACCAGGAACACATGTGGCACATAAATATGCATGCAGGCAAAACATTAATGCACATAAAATAATCATTAATAAATCTCAACCAATAGTTGAATAATCAGAGAAAAAGTTAAAACTTGGGAGGGTGTTGTGAATATAAACATGGTTTTGTTTTGGTTCCAGGTGTGGGATGTGGAACTAATTCACATGGCCCACAGCAGCAGACTATTTGCCTCGTGTGGGCTCTGAGAGGAGCTCTTTGACAGCTGCAGATAGTTTAAATCTGAGGACTCTGGAGAGAGAATAAATGCCGGAGCCCAAAGAGTGTAAAAGGTCCGAGAAAGAACAAGGCTGCTCCTGCTTTCCCCTTGCTGCTCCTAGTTGCTGTTGTGAGACAAGAAGTTGGGGATCTCCTGAAATGAAGGTTAGACTGGCTCCAAGAACCCAAATACCCTAACCAGCAGGAAGCAGCTAAAAAATAACTGTGCCCCTTCTCCCACTAATCCTTTCTCTCTCCTACCTGGTATTGGGAAGGGATTGAAGTAGAGTAGGGAGAAGAAAAGATAAGAAACATAAATAAAAGAGTTAAAAATAAAACTAATAACAACAGGAAGGTAAGAGGGAGTTAGAAGGTGATAGCAAAAGAGGGAGAGAGAAATGATATATGAAGTTCTTAACATTTACACAATAACAAAAACAGAGAAAAATATAATGCTATGTTTATGAAGGACTGAACAAAGAAAAAGAAAAACATACAGAACCAGTGGGTCTTAACGTGCCTAATTCCATGACCCAGGTCCTTAGGTTGTGCTGACCCCAACCATAAAATTATTTCATTGCTACCTCATAACTGTAATATTGCTACTGTTATGAATCCTATTGTAAATATCTGATTTGTAGGCTATCTGATCTGCAGCCCTTAGAGGGGTCATGACCCACAGGTTGAGAACCACTAGTCTAGGGAGATGCTGTTGCCTTCCATTACTTAAGCAACTAGTCAGTGAAAAGACTCAGTTCCAGTCTTTTATACTCTCCACTTTGCTATGCTTACAAAACTTGCACACCTTTAAAAGCAACTTGTAAGCTCCTAAGCATTTTACCCTGTAGACTTCACCCTGTAATTCTAAGCTAGTGCAGTACAATGGAGATGAAGAACCATTAGTCTGCTAGAACAAAACTGCATGAGGACAGGGCCTGTTGTCTGTTTAGTTCAACTCAGCATGCCTGGCACTTAACAAGGTATTCAATAAGTATTTGCTGAATAAATGAATATATTCTTTTTTTTTCTTTTGTCAGTGATGAGCAAATTCTTCATAAACATTGACATGACAGTATAGATTATACTAAAAGTCCTCAAATGAGCAAACATTTCAGCAAACTTGTTCAGGGAAATGGTACTCCTATTTCCCTTCTCTTTCTTCTTTTCTTCACCTTCAGTATTTATTTCACAGGACTGTGCAAAGAAAGAGAATTAATATATACAAATTATTTTGCATGGTGTTTAATGCACAGTTAACTCTCAATAACTGAGAGCAGTTAGCATGAATATGATTGTTTCAAACAGAAGGAATAATAGTCCACAGGATGAAAATAGCCAAACACAAAATTATCGGAGGCTTTATACTTTGTGAAATATCCCTGAATAGTTCTGCATGGGTTTCAAAACTAACAAATTCTCTGAGAGCTACAAGCTATATGTAATGTTTGGACCATCATAAATGCTTATCGATATGTTTTGTGGAGATTTTTTTTCCTATGAAGTTAATGAAGGAAGGGAATTTAATTGATCTTCAGATCTGATGATTAGTTCTGAAATGTTGCTCTAACTTTCACAACAGATTACCTCTCCACAAGTTCTTGTCCGTTCCAGCACAGGGTATCATTTTCGGCCACGGGGCTATGGCTGCAGATGTAGTCAGGCAAAGCACTGTAGAAGCTGATGAAAGACTTCAGCTTCTGAATCAGTTCCCTGAAAGGAAAACAAAACATCTGTAAGCACAGTATGAGCGAAGCTGAATTTCCTTATCAGCATGACAGAAAAGCTCTGCCAGGCTGATTAGAGCAATAAACGATTTATAAAGACAGTCTTAGCTACAAGGCCACAATTTAGCATTTTTTTTAAATCAATAAAATGATATTGGGGGTGGGGCAAGGTTGCCTTCCACAGAAGGTGCTGTTCCTATTAGGAGGGTGATTTAATTCCAACATCCATTTTTCTCACGCATATAGCACCTCCCTCCCACCCCCCTTTTTTCATTCAGAGTGCTGTTACCTACATTCTCAAAGGTGCTGACTACAAGGCACACTGGAGCACTACATATCTTTTGGTTTCGGGGTGTAATTGAGTGCATTGATTGTAATTTACAATGCTATTACCCTAGAGATGGCCCCGTTCCATATAGGCTCTGGCTAATGGCTGCAGATCCAAACGGTGAGGTGCTCAGAATACTATAAGCTCTGCGAAATCCTCCTGATTATACAGTCAGAGAAACTCATATCTGCTATGAGGAGGAAGGTCGCTTTGTTCTTTTCCTGTATATTGTTTCCTATGAGGTGGCTCAAAGGGGAGAAGGTTGTAGTAGGATATAGTGCTATGATTTATTTGCTTTTATTTCTGTGCTATTTATGATAAGAAAAGTGGGCACAAGAACACATATAATATGAAAAAGTATAGAAACATACAGATATAAATTATAGCAAGACTTGTTATCTATTGTCTTGTTTCAGTTGTACACACATATATAACATAAGTTATCAGACTAGATACATGAATATGTTTATGAAACATATTTAATAAATATTTCTATAATAAATGTCCAGTCATATGCAAAAATAATAATACTTTATTTTCAAAGTAACACCCAAGATCGAAAGCTACAATGCTCTTCACATCCAAGTCTGGCCAGGGAGTTTTCTGGAAGAGAAGCAATTATTCAACAGTCTCTGCAGGCTAAGAATGGATGCCTGTCCTGATGCACAGGCCTTAAGAGGAGCCACAGATGACTGCCATTTGAAGGTTAGTGGAAGCCATGAGGCCAGCAATGTCTTCTAGGAGCTGCTTTCAGATCCAACTGAAATGAGAAGACTGGTGAAAATGATCTTGCAGTTCATGCTATTTTCTGTTTATCATAAAAGTATTATTTCATCTAAAGTGTGTGTGTGTGTGTGTGTGTGTGTGTGTGTGTGTGACAGGAAGCGATAGTTTCAGTATATGTCTCCAAAAGCTTAGGTCACAGGAAAGCCAGGAAGATGGACAGAGCAACCAGAAAAGGTTATTGGGACATATATAATGCCTGATACTTCAGTACTTGCTTCCTGCTGTGCCCATGCTCACCTCCCAGCCTGTGCCTGGTATCTGAGCACCATCAATCTTTAAAGAGAAGAGGCTTGATACAGAGCTCTGAAAATAAAAGTGAACATTACAGTTTCTCAAGAGGAGAAAGATTGGTTCAATTAACGGCTAATAGGAGAGATGCTCTGTTTTACAAGGTAATAATCCAGTTCCCAAGAGTGGAAGCTGGAAGACTAAAGGCTGAGGCTGAGTAATTCCCCCTACTCTACAAGGAAATGGAATGTGGGCATTAGTCTATGGGAAATGATGGTCTTCTTTTTAATGAAAGAGTTTCCCTTAGGCTTCCTCCTACCTCTACATGGAACAGGGCAAGAAAAAATGGAACCCATCCCAAGGCCTTTCAATTTGATATCTTTAGAAGTTGAAAACAAAGGAAACCTGAATTTTCCCCTGCCTTTCAACTCTTGAAGCTTTCTTAGCTGATCATAAAGATAACTGACAAGTTGAAGAAAATCCAGGTGAGGTTCTACCTAATGCCAAAGGGATGAGGGACTGCAATAAACAAAGAGCACATATAGAAGTACATATATAAAACCTGAGACAGTTTCTAAGGCAACTGCAAAGAATGTGGATAATATAAGATGGTTTGGGGTATCACATTCCAGAATAGAGAAATATTTTGGAACTTGAAATAAGTAACTCAGAAAAATAAAATTTATCCTGCTTCATATAGCATTTACTACCTCCTTGAACTAGGATGGCCATATGAGAGTGAGACCACAATTACACGCAGTGAGACACAATTACACAATTACACAATTACACACAATATTACATAGTGATAGCTAAACCATGCTATCACTGTGGTTGGGTCTTCAGAACAGTCCCTTCAAATGAGCTATGAGGAGTAGCTAGGAACTCTGGTTCTGGAGTCTGACCCCACTGAGTTTTAAATCCCAGCTTGCTTTCACTTACCCAGCAATGCAACCTTAGGCAGATTCTAAGCTTGTCTGGGCTTTGATTTCCTTTGTCATAAAATGAAAGTAATAACAGCATCTATATCGCAAGGTGGCTATGATGATTCAATACACAGTGTATGTGAGGTGTTTCCCGTGTTAACTCCCACAACCACAGTACCCACACAGATAACCAGCCATCTCCTCATGATGTAAGTCCTTCCCCATCCTCCCGTTATGGTGAATCTGAAGGATCATATGTAATATATATGAAATACATTACATTCTACACAAATTCCTGTATATAGGATAAATTTTCAAATTCATTTTCCAGCTAACACATTTGTGCAGCATGATTCTGATCTCACATCTTTTGAGGTGGGTACTTTTAAATATAAACAAGTTCTCTCCAGAATGAGAAGAATTTTGGATATGGGTACTGGAGATTGATTCTACGGCATCGCAAATGTTCTATCACTAAGCTACATCCCCAACTCACTCTTGAATGCTCTAGACTGGTCTTAAGTTTCTGATACCCCTGCCTCAGTTTCCTTAGTAGCTAAGATCACAGGCAAGAGCGTCAACTTTAGTTCTGTCCTTCATCTTTTATAATAAAGTCTTTTGACTTTATCATTGTAAAAGAAACTCATGTTTCTCATGTGAGTCATTTAGAAAATAAAAGAAGACAGAAGGAAAAAAAATCATTCACAGACCCACTAACCAGAGATACTGTGTTGATATTTGTGTATACCACCTTCTGTTTTTGGTAGGTTTTATCACTAGATTCTTTCTGGTTCTCAGGGTATATTATCTTCAATTGATTTGGAGTACACTCAAGACATTTGTTTAGAGAGGAATCTCAGAATAATGAAAGCAAGGCTGGGGTGTGGCTCAGTGGCAGAGCACTTACCCATAACGTGCAAGACCCTGAGTTCTTGACCCAGTACCCCAAATTAGCCGACTCTTAAATAATGCCCAGCCTTGTGAGACAAAATGCCAGCTGTCCTTCAGAGAATTAAAGACTGGGTCTTTAGCATAAACAGCACCTTGGCCAATCCCTCAGAGCCTCCAAGGACATTGATAGAGCACAGGGTCACTACTTTAGGCAACATCTCTTATATTATCATGGGAAAAGAACTCTTGGTTTCCAGGACACACTTTAACTCTTGAGAATAAATGCAGTCATACTATTTCTGAATGTAGAAAAAGACTCTGTAAACTGCTGGAGAGTCAATGAGCTTCCAAAGGACAGTGACAAGTGATAATGTCCTCTGACACCATGGCAGCAGAGTGACAGTAGTAGTTTACCTCCTACTGAGTTTGCTATGCCTCTCTAATTTCTCCCTTTCTTTGTCTTCTCCTGTCATCTCTCCTCAAACTTGTTCTAGCATGGAAGCTAAGCACATTTTTATTTTTATTTTCTCTTAAGTGAAGCTTTATAGCATCTTCATGCATATAACTGTCAAAGACAGTAAGCATTTGTTTTAAAGAAAGACACTTGAAACCAGGTGGGATGTTACTTGTGAACTAAGGCAACCTGTTCAACTGAGATTGGAGAAATAATTGACTTGAAAGGAATGTTCTCTGATTATAATCACATTATATACGTGTGTGTGTGTGTGTGTGTGTGTGTGTGTGTGTGTGTGTGTGTGTGATAGAAAAAAGTTCAACTCATGACTCTCACCTGGCATAAACTTCTGGAAGTCTGCTTAGGAAAGGGTTTCTTCATAGAAGTTTTCATTTAGTGTGTAAAATATGGAATTAAAGGATGGATTCATTTAAGAGCCATTTGGAAGTGTTGGAGCTGGGTGCATATGATTTTTTTCCCAATGGAGCACCTATTATTCCAGAGAGGGCACCCTCATTTCAGAGGAGGAGAGGGCTGCCTTCACTTTCTCACACTGATATCCTTGGGCAAGCATCCAAGCAGTGCTAATTGGAAACCACTGCAAATAAAATGCAGCCTTTCATCCCTGACTGTAGATCCTGAACTTCCCCCTTATTAATGTTGCCTTTTTCTTAATGTAAAGTAATATAATGTCATTGTTTTGTTTTGTTTAATTTGAAAAGACAAAAAAGTAAAAAAAAAAAAAAAGTCAAACTGGAATGTGACAGCATACTTAATTCTGATGTGGAGAGACTTTCCCACTTTAACATCAAATTACAATTTTCTGTCACTCCAGATACTAGCATACATCCTCTCTTCCCATTCTCTTTGCCTGAAATCCCTCCTCTTCTCTCCATTCTCTGTTTAATTCCTGCTTTTCTTAGGCTGTGTTCAAAAGCTAACTGATTCAAGTAGCCTTTCTTGATTTTTTCAGGAAGGCTGCTAAGTTTTCCATCAGTAACACTGCCACTCTCTTGTAAGTAGCTTTGTCAGGTGACCTGAATTCTTATAAGATATAAGCCATTTATTTATCTGTCTCCTTGACTGGACTAGGTGAGGGTCCTCTACTTATAAGAACCTAAGTCTTACACTATGCTGAGCACATAAATAGGGCTGACACCTTTTCATTGTGAAGTTCTATATGGAGCAGGATAACATCTACCAGACCTGAAACTCATGTACTGATGTACTTGAGATGTATTTCATTGCTGAACTTTTGCCTAGCAAAACTTAAAGAGCAGTGGTTTGAGAGGAGGCAGGACTTAGCCTTGAGTTTGGTTCAGGGAGTGATCAATTTTTACCTTTTTTTTTCTATTTAATTTACTAGTGATACCCTTCGCCCCTTCAGACTAAGTCAGATGGAAATTACAGGAAGCAGGAGGCACCAATACTTAGAGGGAATTCCACAGAGATGGGGGGACTATAATTTTATCACAAGTTGGCAGTTGGGCCAGTAGCTTGGTGTGTAGGTACTGGGCAAACTATTCAACTACCCATTGTGGATTTTAAAAGGAAAATATATTATTCATGTGATCTACAAAACAGTATCTGGGACATGAAAAGGACTAGGTATGCAGCATCACAAGTGAAGTGATGGAGGAATTCAGAAGAGTAAAAGAGGGAGACTCTGATAACCCAAATGGACTAAAACTATTAGAGGTAGAAAGAGATGTGAAGATCATATTGTTTCTGTTCTGATGCATTATGGGTGCATGGCACTCTACCTTCAGTGTTCTAAATTTCATAACAGTTATTTTCAACATACATTTCTTAAAGAAAGCTGTAATCCCATATACAGACTGCTGGTCCAATGGAAAATTGCCTTTACACTGAGCTAAGCTATTTCTAAGACTATTGTACGCTGCAAAATACCCAGTTGGGGGCAGACAAAACAAACAGATGATTTCTGAATGCTTCCAAAGGAATCCTGCATTTCTTTGTGTGCTGTTACTTTAATAAAGCAAAGGGCTTTTCAATTTATAACGAGACTCCAAAAGCTTACTTGAAACCTCGACACACTGAGTCCTACAACAGTGTTCCTTTCCAATTGTTATGTTTTTAACCACTGATAGATCTTGGGCACGGGTGTTGAAGCTGATAGATGCACACACCTATTGTTCTTGAGAGTGTGAAATACTGTACTGAACATAGTAAGAAATGTATACAGGTATTCACACTCTTCCAAAAGAAACCCCTCCAATAACATTCACCTCAAAGAATCCTGCCGTTAATTCAAACCTAGAGCTTTTGTCATTTTTTTCTTACGATTGTTTCATTTATTTGGATGTCGCCTACAAGCTGAGAAATAGCTCTAAACAAAATATTGTATCTGGGTGCCGAAGGGAAAAAACTTCCTTTGTCATCAATTCCTTCTTTCCCCAGAAAACCATCATCCAAATCAACAGTTCTCCCCAGTAAGGCTTACAGCAATAAATGATGCAGAGCCCAAAATAGATAGAAACCACACAGCAGGGGCTTTGAAAAGCGTCCCATTTACAAATGTGTCAGTATTGACAAGTTAATTTCCTTTAATTTTCCTTATTTTTAACCTTTAACTGAGAAATAAAAACTGTACATAGCAACAGGGCAATTTCAAGATGGGGCTGTTTTGCTGTGTTTATTTTAAGGATGCCCAATATGTGACTGTTACAAATCACTAAACTATTTCTTCCTTGAAGTCTTTCCTGAAGATTTCCTCACCTGAGGGACTTTCTGTGGACTGCCTCTGTCCTCGGGAAATTCTTTTGCTCTTGCTTGTATTTCTGGTTTCTTTTCCCATGGATCTAGAGATCGTACCTTTGTGTTTTTACTGTCCTGCATTTTCCCATTGATCTAGAGATCGTACCTTTGTGTTTTTACTGTCCTGCATACATTGCAGCACTACTGAGTATTTGGTAAATTACTGTTGAGCTGAATAATGATGGACACATACGTATATAATTCATGCATCTGTAAGTCAAGTATGGTAAACTTTCTACTAGTTAAAGAAACAATGTCCTGCACACACAGAAGTGAATAGCTCAATTGGTTCAGACCAAGAATGAAAAGAAAGAACACAAAGACACAATCTTTGCATGGCTGTGCATGGTGGCTCAGGCTTCTTTTCCCCCTTTTAAAAAAATATTTTTTAATTAATTACAATTTATTCCCTTTGTATCCCAGTTGTAGCTTCTCCCTTGTCCCCTTGCAATCTTGCTTTCCCTCCCTCTTCACCTCCTATGCTCCTCCCCAAGTCCAGTGATAGGGGAGGTCCTCCTCCTCTTCCATCTCATCCTAGCCTATCAGGTCTCATTAGGACTGGCTGCAATGTCTTCCTCTGTGGCCTGGTAATGCTGCTTAAAGAGCCACTGAGTTCATGTCAAAGATAGCCCTTGTTCCCCTTACTTGGAAACCCACTTGGACACTGAGCTGCCATGGGCTACATCTGTGCAGGTGTTCTAGGTTATCTCCATGCATAGTCCTTGGTTGGAGTATCAGTCTCAGGTACTCCACATACCCCCAGATTTTTTGGTTCTGTTCTCTTTGTGGAGCTCCTATTCCTTCCAGGCCTTTCTATCTCCCCCTTCTTTCATAAGATTCCCTGTACTCTGCCCAAAGTTTGGCTATGAGTCTCAGCATTTCCTTTGGTACTCTGCTGGATAGAGTCTTTCAGAGGCCCTCTGTGGTAGGTTCCTGTCCTGTTCCCTGTTTTCTCTCTCTTCCTATGTTTATCCCATTTGTCTTTCTGAATGAGGATTGGTCATCTTACCCAGGGTCCTCCTTCTTGATTAGCTTCTTTAGGTGTACAGATTTTAGTATATTTATCTTATATTATATGTCTAATATCCACCTATAAGTGATTATATACCATGTGTGTCTTTTTTTCTGGGATACCTCACTCAGGATGATCTTTTCTAGTTTCTACCACTTGCCTGCAGATTTCATGATTTCCTTGTTTTTAATTGCTGAGTAGTATTTCATTATGTAAATGTACCACAATTTCTGTATCCATTCCTCAGTTGAGGGACATCTGGGTTGTTTCCAGATTCTGGCTCTTAAGAAAAAAGCTGGTATGAACATGGTTGAGCAAATGTCTTTGTTGTATACTTGAGCGTATTTTGGATATGTGCCTTTGAGTATATAGCTGGATCTTGAGTTAGTATTATTCTTAATTTTCTGAGAAAGCACCAGACTGCTTTCCAGAGTGGTTGTACAAGTTTACATTCCCACCAGCAATGGAGGAGGGTTCCCCTTTCACAGCATCCTCTCCAGCATGTGTTGTTAGTTGAGTTTTGATCTTAGCCATTCTGATGGGTGTAAGGCGAAATCTCAGGTTTTTTTGATTTTCATTTCTGTGATGGCTAAGAACGTTGAGCATTTCCTAAGTGTTTCTTTGCTTAACCCCAGAACTTCTTGGTGTGGGAACAGGTAGATTTCTGTGAGTTTGAGGCCAGGCTGGTCTACATAATGAGTTCCAGGATACCACAAATATATAGAGAGACTCTGTCAATATTCAAAACCAAAACAATAAAAAACCCTACATATGATATTTTACTTATTTAATATATCAATTTTCTCATGTAGATTAATCTCTCAAAACTCTCTAAAATTCAACAAGAACTATGAAAAGAAAACAATGGAAGACTAATGTATAACTATTCTTCAGTTCCTACAGGGTTGGCTACTCATATAATTCTTTGGGTAACTCGATTTTCTTAAGAGTTGTGCTGGGTTTCTTACGTGATTTCTACCTCTTACTTATAAGCCAGAAGCTAGAATGGGCTGGAGAGAACCTGAGTAGGGATGGTGGTAGATGGGAATAAAGGGAATTAGAACCTGTGTTTGTCTCCAGACTGATGTTTAAGAACTATGAAACATTTTTGTGTAAAATGGGTCGTGTGAGTATGTTGACAAGGTCTTGCTACCCTCTTTTTGGTGTACTCACTATTAATAATGAGAATAACCACAAGGTAGATCACTGAATTATAAGATCTTGTAAGAAAAAAAAATTTACTAAATAAATAGAGTCCTGAATAGGGAAGTTTATTCTTCCCTGTGTTGTTCAACTAAGTATTTATACCTAGAAAGTTTACAATTAAATATGGCATAGTTATAGTATAATTTTTTTTAACACAGACAAATTAGAGATTTTAATTCAGCATCCTATTCAGAGGAACTAAATAATGTGTATGTAAGAAACTTTGCTCCAATGATTTTTGGCCTGAAAACAGAATGGCTGATTGTATGCTGAAATGGGGGAAAATTCTCTTACCTTCTTCGGCTGGATAAGGTTTCTTCATGTTCTACATGAGCAACTTTTAATACCTTCTTGTCAATAAACAGATCTTCAGGATAATAAGCAGATCTATATTGGCGTTGCTGGGAGTGGGCACACAATTTGCCAATCTGAAAAAATGTAAAGAAATATAATTTAGTACAATGCTTCCACATATATGATGGCAGAAACAGATTTGGAGATCCACTGCAATTTCCTCCCTCAATTTCCTTTCAAAGACCAGAGCAGAGTCATTAATAGAGTCAAAACCAGTAATAAGGTTCGAAGGCAAAGAAGCAGAAGTAGAAAGGAAGGCTGTTGAAGAGTACTGTACACGTTCTGAATGCTGTCTACTCAGAGTCTTAAGATGAAAGGGAAACCATCAGCAAGGCCTCCTTATGAAGGCCTACTCATATCATTCTACTCATATCTTTCAATGGCACTTTCTGTTTGTGTGTATGCAGAAGTTCACAAAAGACGATTTCGAAATTTGAGACAATCTGATCTAGGAGGTGGAGTGGTTTGAGAGGTGCCACTGAATAGCCTCTTGATAGAAGAGCAGCCTACCATGCAGTGTGCACCTGGTTCTTACAAGTGTGTCCTTACTAGACTCAAGTTAAACTGTTTTGAAAAAATGTCAGTATAGTTGCTCATCTGGATTTCCTAAAAAGGCCTGAGGGAAGCAATTCACAGTGTCATCAGCTGTGAATCATGTCTCAACTAAATAACTGCAGGGTTTTAGTAAAAGAGTACAGATCCGTTGTTTCTGTGGTTCAATTATTTGCAGACTAATGCCTAAAACAATGACCTATAAATAAGTATGAATATTAACGTTGTTATATTGCTCCCTGGGCCGGACACCCTGTTAAATACTATCACCTCCATTTTATAGATGAAGAAATTGAGGCTCACTGAAGTTAAGGCAGTGGATGCACTTGACTATCTTTGAGCCTATTAGTTTGACTACAGTCTTAACCCTGTACTGCCTCTCTGGAGCATGATGCCTGCGTTTCCTTTGCTTACATTTTGTTTTGGAGGGAAGGAGTACCCACCTTCAATGACATATCACCAACTAACATACCTCTGGTGAATATATAGACTGTACGGTTCGAGGAAAGAATTGCAAGCATCATGTGTGGACAGGGTTTGTATGTGTGTCACTTCTATAACTTCACAAAATTCAGAGCAGATTTAACACACTCCTAGGCAGATTAATTTAAATGAATCGAAAAGATTTTCTATTACTATATCAGGCCTCAAATACAAGTCCATCAATAAACCACTGACTCAAAAAAAAAAACATCTGTTTTCTGGATGTTTCAAGGTGGTCCAGTAGCATTTACTGGGTTATCTACGTTTGCAAGAGGCATACATGCCATTTAGTTTGCATAGCTTTGGCAGGCTTTCCATGTAAATCCTTGAGTTAGAAAACACATTAAATGAGCAGCAGAATTACCTCCATTTATGAAAGACAGAACCTATTATTTTATGTTCAAAACTGACCATGCTCAATCATTTATTCTAACATGGAAAACGAAATGAAGATCCTGGAAAATATTCCATCTAACTTAGGGATGCAAGATATTGATATCTTAGCATGTGCCCATGCCATGCTGTTTGACTTGGGCTAATTCTAACTTTGTCTAAAGAATCTGAAGTCTCTGAATCCATCCTGTCTGGGACAGTCTGGTAGAGTGTTTTAGGCTAGGGGATGCCTAGGTGTACTAAGGACTCAAGTTCTATTCACTTCCAAAGCACCTAATGCAGACACAAATAACTGTCAGAATGTAACTTTATGTCTATAGGCATATACATGTTTAATATTTTTAAACTGCAGGTAAATTTCTGATAGTAAATTCTTATTTTTGTTCTTTAAGTGTCTATATATTATGACATGAACATAGATAATAAGGAAGGGTCTGTTTTACCAGGTTTAAAATATTACCACATTCAGGTGCACAGGCCATATTCTCTTTACTTATATGCGTTCCACATAAAATAACCAAATAAAAATCTACCATAGTATGTTATTTAATTGGAAAACATAGCTGTAAGATAACCCTCTCTATGGAAAGTTGACCCTTTGTATCAGTGAATTTTTATTGGGCCAGGACATGACTGTAAAGTATTTGCTCCCAACCCAGACTCCAGACTCCAGCCTCCAAGAAAGTAGCACAGATGAAGCAAAAGTAGGAAGGTTAATCACAGAGAGGAAAGTATCTAGTCAGTCTGATCTTTCTTCCCAAGTCTCCAATGTGGCATCGTCAAGAAGACGTCCCAAGGCACTGTGTATAATAAAAGACAAATGATGGAGTCTTGCCAACACCTCCAACTCCTATCTGAGATGTACCATACCTTATCCTGAAGGCTGTATTTTCTTTCAGCAATCTACCATGAAGCCAATTCTTTCACATAAAGCATTTGCCAGAGGTAGCCCACTCCCACTTATAGTCCACTGAACACATCTTTCACTTTCACACTCAAATCGGGATGCAAATATCATGAGCTTACTTTGAGAATAGACCCTAACAGAAATCATAATTTATAGAGATGTGGTATCCCTACTGACGATGGCCTTTGAGCTTGTTACTTAACCTCATTCTTCAGCTGCCCTCACTATAAAAGCCAGGCTTTCAAGTGGTGTTTTAGAAATCAATAGCCTGTCCAGGAGTTTTCAACTTTTAAACAAGAAAATGCAATCCAATTTCCTTTCACTGGGTAATGTACCTGGTCAAGAATGTTGCCACTTTTAAATTTGGTTAGTTGGAGTAAATTTATTGTGTATGCAGGTGTCTCTATCAAAAGACAAGGAATTTAAAACCTTTTTGTTTTTCTGAATCGTGATTCCTAATGATGCTTTTATTTCTATATCAGAACCCACAGCAGGAAAAGCAACAGTACTCTCAAATGTTATAAGGCCTAACAACTAGGAAGGTATTGCCTATGAATGTACCCCAGGCAGCAAGTAATTCTGATCATCTTACTACCATTCCCCTCCAACAGAGTTTAGAAGTGTTGTCTTCATGAAATAAATGCACTATCTGGCGTCAGGAGACAGAATATACAAGCGGGTTTTTTTTCTGTTTAAATTATAATAATTGTACATACTCATGGAAGTACACCGATCTTTCAACATATGTATACAATGTCCAGGCATCAAACCAAGGCAATTAGGATATCCATCATTTCAACTGTTTGTCTTTTTTGTGTTGGAAACATTCAAGACCCTCCTTTAAAAAACATTTATTTATCTGTATGTGTGAGTGTATGAGCCCATGTTCATTCGTGCTACATTGTTTAGAGAATCAAATTCAGACTGCCTTTGCCTCACTGGACCAAGTCTCTCTTTCTCTATCTACTTTGTATTGAAATGCACAGTAAGTTGTTAGCTACAGTCACTCTGCTGTAATTAACTTTTCCTTCTAACTGTTTTTTTTTAATCTGTTAAGCAGCCTTCTTCTATCTCCCTCCCTTCAAGCCCTCTCAGCCTTCAAGATAACTACCATTCTATTCTCAACTTCTAAAAGATCAACTTTTTTCAGTTTTTATGCATCAAAGAGATTATGTGATATTTGTCTCTCTTCTTCCCATGGCTTATTTCATGTAGCAAAATGTCAGTCATATTCATTCATGTATAGCCCCATTTCTATCTTTTATCTACAGTAGTATTTTGTTTTCTCTTGGCATTATGGTTTCACTTTGCTTATCATTCTAGCCTTATATGAAGGAGGAATATAGAATATTTGAAGAGACAAATTTATTTCAGGTTCCCTTGAAAACAAAAGGTAAAAATTACTTTCTGTAGACTATATTACCATGAGAGAAATTTTCTTATTACTAGAACTAAATTTTCCTGAAGGATAATGCATATTAATTATGAACTGGGCTCTTATGACCTACTTTGAACAAATACTGCTCATAAAATTTGTTTGGGGGTATCTTGGGCCAAGGGTGAGAATTCTAAAAGTTTCCAGTTACAATGAAATATTGAGCTTTAGTCTCTTAAACTATATACCATGTTGTTGTACAATTTTGTTTACTTAAATCTTAAAAAGGTTTCAAACAAAATATACATTAAAATTATCAACTTTTTAATAGTAGTAACCATACCCATTTAACAATTCTACAGGTACAATAAAATGCTAATGTATGTTAATGTTTAGTCTGTGGCTAATGCTTTGTCTTGTTAATTTCCCCAGAGCTTTTATTACTGATTTAAATCTGCCACACTACTCAACTGATTGCACTGCTTCCACAAACTGCATGAAAGTAGCTCAAATGAATACTGATGAACAGAAATGAACAAACATTTGGCTAAGCATACCATTCTTATTGTATTTGTGTAATTGTTACATACATTTTTGTACAATGAGATGAGCATGACAGGCATTTTCCATTCATTTTCTGTACAGAAAATATGCATACGAGCATTAAATTAATTTACAACCTTGTACTTGAAGAAGCACATCATTATTAATTAACTATTGATTGATCTGGATATAGAGCAGAGAGGATAATGAACAGACTTGGTGACAATGTGGGTTTTTTTTTTTCTACTCCACAGACATTTTACTGTGACTCATTATTAATTGCCAGGCCATTAAAGTAAAAGCTCCCTAATAATTTGCAGTGTATTAGGAATCAAGCTATTTTAAGAAATTAGGTGGCATTACCTGAACCTTTTATACAAGTCATCTCTTGAAATTGAAACCTAGGGGAAAAAAAACCCTGAAAGTCCTACAGACTGGTTTGTCTTTAATTTGCTGTATTAGTGTGAAAAGAACAATTTGGAATCAGGATACCTCGGGTTTTAGTCACAGCTCATCCCCTGACCATTTCAAAACATCAGACAAGATATTTAATTTCCTTGAAACTCTCAGCTTCAGCATCTTTAAAATGAAGACAAAAGCAATGCCTGACAAGCCTGGCTGCAGGATGAGGGTGAAATAAAGCAATGGCCCAAAGGGTAATGCCACTCCTACCTATATTAGCTTATTGTGTAAGTTTAACCTACTTACCTTTGGTAGCTTGCCTCAGCTGTGTCATAGTCCTGGCTTGGATAATCAAGCACATAGATAGCTATTGCTAATTTTGTGCAGAGGCAGTCTTGGTGTGTTGTTGTGTCTCTTTT